TTGGCAGCCGGCCGGAGTCCCAGCCTGTTGCAACCCGCTCTTATCAGGGCGACGGCGCAGCAAGCCGGTACCAGTCAGCTTGCTCAAATCGCACAGAATAAACAGCATCTGCACCATCCACCTATAATGTCTAATGCATCGAGTCAAACGCACCCGCCGCGCGTGTTCATCACACACCAGACAAACGTCGCGTCGCAGACGTCGCCCATCAACAAGGTACACACTGAGGTCTCCGTCAATACTGATAGGATGAAGCGTCAAGCGGTGACGACAACGACGGTGATCACAACGACTGCGGCTATGCCGATAGAATCGTCTAATAGTACGGAACAATTCTCAGATCAACCCACCAAGGCGAGTAGTAATCCACCACAGAATTCATCATCCAGCAGCATAATGCCGACGGCCTCGATCGCCATGAATAGCCAGGAAGCGAAGAATCAATCACAGAAGAAGAAGGAAACATCGGATACGGAACAGAGCGGCTCCAGGCGCGACTTTGTGAAGTCTATTGGGAAACGATTGAAGGCCAAAACGCAGAAAAAGGATCTCATGGTAGGCCGGCAAAAATCACGAACAGAGAACAGAGCGCGCAAGGCCTTTCGTACGATTTCCTTCATCCTGGGGGCGTTTGTCGCTTGCTGGACACCCTATCACGTATTAGCACTGGTAGAAGGATTCTGCTCAAATCCACCATGCACGAACGAGCATCTCTTCATGTTCTCATATTTTCTGTGCTACGCCAATAGTCCTATGAATCCTTTCTGCTATGCTCTGGCGAATCAACAGTTCAAGAAGACCTTTACCAGGATACTAAGAGGTGATTTGCATATGACGTAAAGTACTGCGGATTGTTCGACAGCATATTCGTTTTGATAATTAATGTAAGCGACGCGAACTGTTTTTTTGTGGAGAAGATGGCCTTCCATATTTAATACCGAATTACACTCACTTGTCGTAACTGTGGTGAACTCGGACAATAATAAAATGAAAATAATATTTTAAGACTCGCCGGCGAAGTCAGGTGTTACGCGCCTTTTGTACATAATACGCACTCAAGCCAATCGAAAGTTATTATATTATATTGTATGTACATACGCTGTACACATGTGTGAATATTCGTTAACGTTATGTGACCAGGACGCGCGTGTATAACATGTGTATGTACATGTAGTCTTAGGCAATTATATGTGTATTACAATAAACATTTTACTGAACCGGAGATACATTCCTAATAATTTGCGGTTCATGGTCCGTATTGTAGCGAGAGCTTGTAAATTTAACGCCGCGTGGAGAACGCAGTATAGTTAAAGCAGTAATTATGTAATTTAGTAGTAAACATTTAATATAAGCCGAACGAAGAAACATCGTTCATTACGAAAGACGAAAAGTGAAAATATTAAGTAATGTAAGACATTGATATTCGGCTGTATTATAAAATATCAGTCGCTTTTACCCGGTTTCACCAATGTGACTTTAATCTCAGTTCAATTTACTCTTTATCTTCACTTAATTTTTAGGATTTGAAAAAGATAAACGCTAAGTTAAACCGAAATTAAAGTTATTCCATATTGGTGGGCATTTGTGTATAAAAGACTGGCTGTATTATAAAACGCCAGTTGCTTCAAATAAAGGACTGTCTTCTCTTGTTGTATGCAGTAATCGTGAAGCGTTTTCGCGTTGCATTATTAATTCCCGTCGCATTTCAAAGATTTCACGGGTTATTTGACGTACTATCTATCTTTTTTTATTTTTACAAACAACGAATCAGCTTGAGGTAGCTCGCCTTCATAGAAGTACCGAATAATTGACGATTTTCTTACGGCTCTCGATCATGAATCGGAAATATACACTGCCTTGAGATGGCCTAATATGCAGGCCTTTTCTCTTCGAATTTTGTGACATCTGGTACTTTCCTTACAAACGAGCTTCCATCGATGTCTGATTGACATTTCATGGCGATACGTTCGCATCTATGACGACATGTAAGGAATATTTTTATTTTAATATATATTTAAAATTGATTATTAAGCGAATTACTAATTATTATAGCTAATTATTTAATTAATTAGTTTAAAATAATTATTTCTTTAATTTACTTTCATATAAGTCTGAATATTTTTATCATTAGCTATATTTCATATATGTTTATTGTATATATATTTTAATTAAAAAGTTTGTTGTGTATGCAACAGTTATTGTGTCGCAGATGCGAACAATTATTTGAAGTTACTAGCAGACTGTGATTATAATTCGTGGCATCATGAAGCTTCGTTTTAATATTGCTTATCTTTAAAAAAATTTTTCTTCTCGATAAAATGCCTAATTTTTTCATTCTATTTTATACCAAATATATCTCGCGATTACTGCAAGCGATTACGAATAAAATGCATATAGACACAAATTGTAATACATAATTCATATTCACACATATTCCGTTATATTTTAATAACATTTATAAAGGCATTACCTTTATTGCCCTTGTTTGCGAATGAATCAAATACACATTCACGTATATACGTAATTGCAGGAAATCAAAATTGTAATTCCTGTTAATTAGTAAAACTAATTTATCAAAAACGTGTATAATTGAAGATGGCTACAATGCTTGCGGTATAAAAGTAACAAATAGTTAATAAATTAATTAGCAATTGAGGAAGCAAGTAAACAAAATGGAGATTTACATTTTTATATTTATATTATACAAAATCTATATTATAAAAATAAATTATCATTTTTCATTGTTATGAATTTCAAATTATCATTTGAATCATCATTTTATTAATGTGATAATGAAGTGGATCTGTAATTAATAATATCGAAATTATTTGTAATTAATAATATGTAAAGTTTATTGCATTAATCAAATTATCAATCAAACATTAAAATTGTTAAACAGAAAAATACTTTCTTTATCAATTGCTCTTCATTTGTATGTATATATTTTACAAAAAAGTGCATATATTTTACAAAAAAAAAAGACAATATATATTCGATTGAATATCATCAATATACCTTAGAATCTTAAGATCTCTGATGAGATGTTATTTAAGTAAAATTCTGGCATTTTGTCAGTTTAAATAAGTCGCAAATTTTAGAACTACGGACTTGTTATATGCTAGAAATTTCTGTCAGACGGACAGAAAAAGTGCTTAATTAAATAAACTCATATCGCATAGTTTAACACCGTAAGATGCATGTTTTTTTCTACCGATTATGTTCTTATTTTTATCCATTATATTCTTATTCTTACTCTTGTAGTTCCAATATATGGAATTAAAAAAACGTCCAACAAGCAAACAAATCATTTTTAATTGCCAATTAATCGGAAATAGCAATTTTTTTCTTGTATTATAAACTTTATCATGTAATTATTGCTATTAATTACTTTGCACGTAACTTCATCCGATAATTCCGCCATAACATCTGACCACTAGAAAACGCGTCATGTTCTTCCATAGAAAGTACAGAGTGTCCCGAGAAGTAAATAAAATTTTTATATTCACATAAATGAATTGTATCACATTATAAAATTATTACGGGGACATTTTGGCACTTTGGATTCTTCCGAAATTCACTGCCAATAGTGAGAATAATCCTGTTTCTTCAGTATGCTAAATATATCTAAATCAGTTATATATACATTTTAGGTATTAAGGTTATTATTTTAACTATTATTTATTTAAAATGACAGACCTAATCGAAATATCCCGTTTATTTGCGGGAGCACTAATAGAGTGTTTCAATTCAATTTGAGATTTTGCTCTTGACGTAATCGTTTATTCATAAACACAATTTACACAATTCACGATTAATTTATATTATTAATCGTAAGTTACGCTTTAATAAATTAGTGATGTGTTTGCATTATACTTTATACTTTTTTAGCTTTAAAGTATAATATATTGGAGTACACTTGTTTCTTCATGCGTCGTTACATGTAATAATACGCGCTAATAATTTCTCGTGAAAAAGAATATGAAGAAAGGTCGTTGCGATAATAATTAATAACAGAAAAAACATTCTTCTGTGTCTTGGCTATCTAGAATGTAATATGTTGGCGTCATTATGATTAGTGATAGGACATAGAGTAAATGATTACTGTATGCTTCGTCAACAAAAAATTAACTTGCATCAAAACATTTCTGTGAACGCCGGATTCTTCGATACAATCGATGCGACATATTCCGCTTAATAAGACTAAGTCCAGCTTACTGATCGAGAAGGTCGAACGATACGTTGCAAGTTCTAACGTAGTAAATCTCTCTCTATGATATGTAGGCTATATTTAAATATATAAAAAGTATGCGGGCACAAGTAGCGGTGCGCTTATTGTACAGAGACAACAGACTTTACAGACTTTGTAGAAAAAAACTGACTTATTAAGTGGGCGCCGTGTGTATACAAATATGCATATATACGTAGCGTAATGGATAGGCAGTAAAGGCTGCTTAGCGCTAAAAAGAGGAAGAAGATCGGTAGACGGTACAATATCTAGCGAATAAATATAATTAGCCTTAGGCAATAGCATGATTAAAAGAAGCGCAGGTAATAAAAATAACTGCGTGTGGAGCCTATGTGAGATCGTATATAAAGCGTATTGTCTAGATCGTGGAGAAAGTATATATTTGCGCATTATATTTCCCGCCCGACGAACATGCTTTATTATAGATTACTCGTTGTATAAGTTCGTGAAACGGATGATCATCAAAATTGTGCGCGACAAGTTGGAAAATGTGCGATTAATGTGTATTTTATGCTCGACCAATTTAAACCTATCATGAAAAATTTAAATAAGTAAATCTGTAAACAATTTACTTGATGAAATAAGTTCTGTCATATGATTTACTATTATTTGTTTACACAGATTATATTAAAATGTGCCACGAATTCCCTGCACGTTCCGCGAATTTTTTGTTGAAATTAAAATTATATAGATTGCGTGCACGTGAATATTAACGAAGAAATAATATCTATATCTTAAAATGTTGAGTTTTCGAAATATTTATTTCTAATATCTTAAATTAGTAATATTTTATGACGTACATGTCAAGCAGAAAATGAATTTGATAATTATATATAATATTATTTTAAATGTCTTCTAATATAAAAACAACGTGAAATCAAATTTAAAATGTAATTGTTACTAAATCATAGACAATATATTTTATCTGTAATCTTGATTTTAAAAGTCCTTATAAGTATTATTTTTTATTCTTCTTTATATATTTTATTATTTTCTCGATTAAATTTATTATCTCCTGTTGTTAATCTTATTTCTTACACATATATAATAATTTATAAACAATATAATGTATGTTATGTGATTATTATACAAATACATTATAATCTTATATTTATATTATTTTAAAATAATGCGGCATGTTCTGATTGTGGATATATGATCGATATTTAGGAATATATTCGCCACGCATATAACGTCAAATGTCTATTGCAAATTGGCATCAAATTAATGTATATGTGAATAAACTAAGGTTCGAATGAAATTGTGACATAGATGTTATCTAGTAGCAATCGATTTTTATCTATATTGCACCTCTGTATGGAAGCCATGAAGGTGCATATATACATATATATAATAATGCGCGTCCTGAAGTATAAATGATACTTAATTGCTGAACCTGTAAGTAAAAATAAATATAATAAAGTGAGACAATGCAATGTAATAAGAAATTAATATTTCTTCCTTTTATTTACTGATCGTATATATAATATAATATGATTATAATAAAACTACACATCAATATATAAGGTAAGTATAAAATCTTTCAAGATTAATATTTAACGTTTCACAATGCAATGAAAAACTCAAAATATGTAATATATTAATAATATAAAAATTAATTCTTATTAGTAAAAAATAAAGTTTGATTTTAATTTTTTCGAAATGGATTTACAAGCTTAAAACATTATCTTTTATGATGCTATATATGGTACAAAATAATAATTTTGAGATATTTGAATTTTATTTACAGTCTTAATTAGAAGATAAAAGTCTGAAGTATTAGAGATATAATAGTTATTTATACTAAGATAAGATTCCAAGAACTTTAATGTTATATACAAACGAAAACAGTAAAAGTAGTGACATCTGATCGAAACTGTATCAACTTTATACGTTTAATACTTCTGTGAATTTCAATAACTTAATAACGTTTAAAAAATGTATATTATATTGTGTTAATATATATATATATATATATAAATTTATTTTATAATTGATAAAAATAAATAACAATAAAACAGCATAAATATATAAATATAGGAATGTAATCTTTTATTGACCAAGTACCCCATATCACTATGTGGTATCCTATTTCTTCTCTGACAATTGGAGTTTGCATAGGATTCATATCAAATTTCGGTTTTAACAAGTAACTGGAAACTCAAATAAAATTGTCAAATCAATAAAAAATAAATGGTTCAAACTTATTGTTCATATTTTCGTTCTATATTTTTTTTTGAATAAATTTCTACGTAAAATTATATGAAAGTCTTTATTTTTACTTAATTATATTTTATTTAGATTTGTTAATTATAATGATAGTAAATTTATAAATTAACTGGAACGAGAATGGGAACGAGTCATGAAACCAGATTTTCTCAACAGATGATAATCTGTTTGGTCAATAATGCAGTTAAGAGAAAAAATACTAATAATTATTAAGATTTAAAAGATTTATTAAATTATTTTATACATTAAAGTGTTAAATATAATTATATCACACCAATTAAAAAATATTATTTTCTTTCTTATACTTTTAATAATTTCAATTCAGTCGATAACAGTGATAAAATAAGATTATCAGAAAACCAAGTAAAAGTTAAATAAAAAGTTTCAGCAAAGAATATTCCAGTCTTTATATATAGTCTTTATTCAACTTTATTTAACTTTATATATAGATCTTTTTTTAATATGTTATATTTAATGCATATTGTTAATATTGAATACTAATTAATAATTCAAATAATTTCATAAGCTTTATTAATCTTTTTATTGTAATATATA